TGTGTGTGTGTGTGTGTGGCGTCTATGTACGAACCTATATGGATGTCTGTTGTCTTTGTGTATATGTCTATGGATGTGTGTGTATGAATGGTCTGTGCGTGTGTCTTCGTGTCTGTTCCCAAGTTGGCTACTACGTGCCATTCGAAGTCGCAACGGTCATTATTCGTCAGTTTCTGGCACGCAGTAGCCAACTTTAAGGGTGCATGCCAAAATGTGTGTGTGTGTGTGTGTGTGTGTGTGTGTGTGTGTGTGTGTGTGTGTGTGTGTGTGTGTGTGTGTGTGTGTGTGTGTGTGCGTCTTTTTGTATATGCCTGTGTGTGTGTGTGTATTTGTTATGCGTGTTTGCTTGTGCATGTGTTAGCGTATTCGACTTCAAGTTGGCTACTGCGTGCCATTTGAAGTCACAACGGACCTGTGTGGTCTGTGTATGGCACGCAGTAGCCAACTTGAACGGTGCACGCCAGAATGTATGTATTTGTCGGTGTGTCTGTGTGTGTAATACTCTTTGCCCACAACAACCCCTGTTCGAACCAGACGAGTACATACGTAGGAGAGAAATATGTAAATGGCAAAAGGTATGACTAGCAAAGGGCAGGAGGGAGATGGGGGGCGAGGTACGTACGTCGTTACGGTAGGAAAGAAAGAACGAGAAAGAAAGAGAAATAAAGAAAGAGAAAGAAAGAGAAAGAAAGAGAAAGAAAGATAAAGGAAGAAAGAAAGAAAATAAGAAAGAAAGAAAGAAAGGAAGAAAAAAAGAAAGAAAAAAGAAAGAAACATGTTAGACAAAGAAAAGAAAGAAAGAGCGAAAGAGAAAAAAAGAGAAAGAAAGAAAGAAACAGACAGACAGACAGACACACAGGCAGACAGACAGACAAACAGACAAACAGACAGACACAAACGGATAGACAGACAGACAAACAGACTGCCTGACCGACTGGCTGACCAGACAAGGCGACAGACAGACAAACTGACAAACAGACAGACGGACAGATAGACAGACAGACAGACAGACAGACAGACAAACAGACGGACAGACAGACAGACAGACAGACAGATGGACACACAGACAGACAGATCCCATTGAACTTACAGACTTTGATTCTGGTTCATCCACTTACAGACCAGACAGACACACACACACATAGACAGACAGACAGACAGACAGACAGACAGACAGACAAACAAAGACACAGAAAGAAAGAAAGAAAGAAAGAGAGAAAGAAAGAAAGAAAGAAAAAGAAAAAAAGAAAGAAAGAAAGAAAGAAAGAAAGAAAGAAGGAAATAAAAAAAGAAAAAAAGAAAAAAAGAAAGAAACATGTTAGACAAAGAAAGAAAGAAAGAATGAAAGAGAAAGAAAGAAAGAGACAGACAGACAGACAGACAGACAGACACACAGGCAGAAAGACGGACACACAGACACACAGACTAGGAAACCGACAGACAGACGGACAGACAAACAGACAGACAGACAGACGGACAGACAAACAGAAAGACAGACAGACGGACAGACAGACAGACAGACAGACAGACAGACAGACAGACTAGGAGACAGACAGACAGATAGACAGACTAGGAGACAGACAGATAGACAGACAGACAGACTAGGAGACAGACAAACTTACAGACTTTGATTCTGGTTCATCCACTTACAGACCAGACAGACAGACACACAGACAGACAGACAGACAAACAGACAGACAGACAAACAAACAAAGACACAGAAAGAAAGAAAGATAGAAAGAAAGAAAGAAAGAAAGAAAGAAAGAAAGAAAGAAAGAGAGAAAGAAAGAAAGAAAGAAAAAAGGATAAATTCAAACGTATTAGACCAGTTAAGATTAGAAGCCTGCAATGGTTGATTGTCTACGCTGCCCTTCCGGTGAATCAATGGTTACCCAGAAGAAGAAAAACCACAGACCCTAATAACTCTGAGCTTTGCACAGTATGTACCGAAGGCTTGGTAGAAGATGTAGTCCACTGCCTAGTGCTCTGCAAAGAAGCTACTGAATATTGGGCCAGAGCTTCAGCACTCTGGATCTCCCTCTTCTCATCTCCCTTCCCCGAACAACCCATCCAACTGCTTCTCCTGACTAACATCCCTGATCAAGTACGAAGGGCAGAAAAGATTTGGTTCAAAGCTGAGATGGTTTTTTGCTTTCCAATTTATAGGACTATAAATACGCAAATGTCAAGATGTCTGACTTCGGTACAAGAACGCACATTTTCGAAGTGCTTCTTTGTTTTCTTTTTTCTCACATGTTTGTGAGTCGCGGTTTATAGAACTATACACCGAATGGAGAATTACGAAGCTGACATGGTTTTTTGTTTTCCAATTTATAGGACTATAAATACGCAAATGGCAAGATGTCTGGCTTCAGTACAAGGGCGCACATTTTCGGAGTGCTTCTTTGTTTTATTTTTTTTTAGTATGTCTTTGCCTCGTGCTTTATAGAACTACACACGAAATTCGGGATGCCTGAACTGCATCTGTTTTCTACTTCTTTAATGAAAGGACTCCAAAGGTGCATCTGCCAAGACATCCTGCTTTCGTACAAGGCAATACATTTTGGAGTGATCGTTATCTTGCCTGGGTTTTCTTAACTTTCCTCTAAGTTTGTAAGTCGTATCTAGTATTGTGGAATGAATTGTCATATTTGCGCGTTTTCAGCAGAGCAAAGAATTCATTTCTCGACTACAAGCGGCTTTTGGGATCACTCGTTGACCTGCTTTTGTATGTGATAAAAATGAGGCTTCGTGGACAAGCTTTCGTCTCACTAATCACCTTCTCCTAACAGGAGCCTTGATTTGGTATGTTTTTCATCACTAGGTGCGGCATACAACGTGTAAAAGTAGCACCAGCGGAGTGAAAATGAGTGAAAAAATTTTGGTTTTCTCCGGTCTATAAAGATTGTTTGGTTTTCTACGTTTGTTTGGTTTTCATAAATAGTCTGTTCAATGCAACATAGATGATGTTAAACCATTCAACATTATTATTGTTTTTTTTTGTTTGAATAAGAGGGGAGGAAGCAAGATTCAGAATCCCTTTTTTTTTTTTTCTCTCCCCTCATGTTTGAACATTTCTTTTTGCAATTGGACGCCATTGAACTTTCTGCCGATTGAACACTCCGAAATTGGTCAAGACCGCAACACAGAACAGACAGACAGACAAAGGGTGGGAAAGAGAGAAGCACGTGCACACGTGGAAGAGGGAGAAGAGGGGTCGATGCTAACAAACCAAGCATATAAATTACAAGTCACTGGATGAAAGAATGTAGAGCTAGAGAAAGGAAACAGCAAACACACTTAGTGTACACTCACATACGGATACTGTGATGGTTTGCGCACATATCCACAACAACAGAACAGACAGACAATGAGACCTCCACCAAGCCCGTGGTAAGAAAAACAACGACAACAACCCCTAATTCAACGGCTGACCTACTTGTACCTAACTTCCGTAGACGTACAACGCACCACGCACCTACAGACCTACACAACCGTCCAAACGACAAACATCTACGAGGGCATTTTGGTAAAGATCCAAAGTACATGCATTTACATGGAAACCTACAATAAGTAGACCGAAGGCTAGGACACACATTAGATAGACCTCCGGGTGCGTACGAGTCTTCAGGAAGGCGGAAACGAAAAAAACTACAAGGTTGAAAGACCAGGGACTACGAAAGTAGTGACAACTGCCAACAGGTTCCGCCGTTGGAGCCCGCCGAAAGGCCTATCATTCGCAAAGAAAGAAAGAACGAAAGAAACTTGAAGAAAGGAAGAAGAAGAAAATGAAAATGAAAAAAAAAAAAGAAACAAAGTAAGAAAGAAAGAAAGGAGAACAAGAGAAAAACAAAAATATATGGGGTTCACTACTGCGGGCCAAAATCAGCGACAGAGTCGTCCTTCAATACCTTTATGTCCCCCACTAGTGAACCTGATCTCTCTCTCTCTCTCTCTCTCTCTCTCTCTCTCTCTCTCTCTC